GGTGGATGCGGGTCTGTAATTACAGAAAATTAATTTGCTCGGATGGGTGGTGGATGGATGATTGATGGATAGATGCGGATTCGGGTGCCGTCAGAGCCCATCCGCGCATCACTAGTAGACACTAATTTGACAATGCCAGGTAAAGCATGGGATCTCTGGGTGGCAGGCTCAATGTCATCCTTGATGTCATCTAGTAGCGCAAGGATCATGCGGCCTGGCAACCGGTATCTGCAAATGATTTCATTGTCACTTAAATCAAAAAGTGATACTCTCTTCCGATAAATCCTTTCTGGTGCGCGCCTGCCATTACGGTGCCTTCGCCTGGCTACAATCACTGCTGCCATGATTACCGGAGTCCTGGCATGACAGCCCTTATATAGGCTATGCTCCACAGTTACCACCAACTGAGTGAAATTTGCAATCATTTTGCATGAGAGAGAGAGTGAGAGAGGGAGAAAGAGAAATTGCGTGGATTTAATACACGGGTCTCACTGGCGTTAAATAGCACCACTTTACTGCCTGTGGCAATTAGCGCTGGTCTTTGTGGATTAGGTGGTATTTGCAATGAGGCTTATTTGCATAAGAAGGGGGCAATTTTGCGCAGAATTTATGAATATTCCCTAATTTACATGCATGCAGCTAGGAGTGGCAGTGCAGTTTGTGTTCAGTTTGCGTGCATTTCACCCTTTGCGTGTGCTTTGTGGATTGCACGCTATTTTTTTCTCTCATTTGCACAGGTTTAGCGGTCACAAAAGCAGTGCAATCCTTTTGAGGATCTGGCCCAATGTTTTCAAAACAGCCCTGGCTGCTTGTGTAACCTTGCTAAAAGGACTAAAAGTGTTGCACTGTTCTCCCATGCAGGGGTCAAGTTTTTCATATACTGGAACCAATGGCTCCTTGAAAGGCAAGATATCAAACTAAAAATGAACTAAACTGTGTGCTTAGAAAATGATCAACACTTAACTTTACGTGGCTTGTCACAGTGGGTTGTATGTATGTTAGCTAAGGCACAAATTGTTTCATACAATCAATTGCTTAGCCAGTTTCTGAGCTTTAGACCACCAATACAGCTGTCACACTGTGCTGTGTCACCTGTAATTCCTTTGTAGAATCAAGCAGTGTGTACCTCTGAATGCGATGTTTCCTGCAGATGAAGACATACACTCTCCTCAGCCCCACCAGGACAGGGTCCCAGTTGTTGTAGTGGCACAAGAGTGTGGCAATGAAAAAGGAGAGGAAGACGGGGACCGCCCCAGCAAAAAACAGCCACGAGAAACGTACCTATCCACACACATACAGAGAGTGGCTATTACAACTACTGTGATGACTGTCAGATTTTTTTGTTACAATTCTAAACATATGTTTAAATTTGAAAACTCATTTAACCCCAAATTTAATAAACATTTACTCCCTTTAACTTAAGTGAATTATTTTTTGTGTAAAGCAATCTAACAAAAACAGTATACTAAGTAAACAGTAACATTAACAAGACTTCACTTTGCAGTCTGCTCTGACCCACACTTTTCAATCTGGTGTCTTGCCAATGCCAAACAAAAATTATCTTGAATCTAACTTCAAACCCTGACTCTGATTGTCAAGTCCCTGTGGTAGGAAATGTACCTTCTGCATGCAAATATCTGCCATTATAGAGAGCGGGATGGTGAGGCTCAATGCCAGAGTCCCGATTAGAGATGATGTGAGAAAGCAGCCCCTGTGGAGAAAAAGCCACATCATCAGGTCAGCATTAAAGTGTTTCTGAAATACTGTATATTCTTCAAAGTCATTTGTTCAACTTACTCAACTGATAATGTCCTTAAACAAAATGTAAATTATGATGGTTTGGTGCCAGAAATGTGATCTGAATAAACAATGGGTCAGGTGCTCACCAGAGCCAGAGAAACTCTGAGAGAACGGTTCCAATGAGGCCATTAATGAGGATATATGTCCACACCAGCTGGCTGGGAAGCTCAAAGGCCTCAAAACCCGTGTAGTGGAGCAGAAGAAAGCCTGGCCACAGCAGCAGCAGGTTGAACAGACCCACAAACCCTAAGAGACACACAGCATCTCCAGCTTAGACAGCTCGAAAGGTGCCTTCTATAAACCACAGTGAGGACAACTACTGTGCAGGGGTCTCTTCTGTGTTTAAATGCAAAGATAGGGTGCAGACATTGCTCAGAATATTGTTAATGATCGAAATACTGGCATTTTCGGCAAAACCAATATACTGAGCACTGCTTACCAAAGAACATGGGGATGTCAAGCTTATCTTCCCGATCCACTCGTCTCTTGATCATGACGATGTAGACTGCGTACAGCGCCGCCCCCACCAGTGACCACAAGGAACCTCCATATAAAAATCAATCACACTTTCAAAGAGAGAAGGTTTCAAATCATATCAATTCAACACTACTGAGGCCCTGATACACCAAGCTGACAGTCGGCCATCAGCCAACGTTGGGCCATCTCTGCGGTGTGTCCCGCACCAATGGCCCTCGTCGGCACTAGTTGGCTTTTTTTGCCGCCAATTCAGTGTGTTGAATTGGCGTCAGCAACTGCAGAGTCAATCGGTGAACAAAATCCCTCTGATTGGTAGTTCAGCTCAGCGCACGAGGGGAGAAACGGAAGTGAGGAAAGTAAACAAAGAGCCAAGAGGGAAGAGGGAGTGAGACCAGAACAAACTTGTTACATAAGGTATGATTATTTTTTTTAACCAGTGAGCTTTTTAGCAGAAACGTTTCCTGATGTTTTGTGTTATTGCTCACTAGCGCACGGTAAATATGCTATGATGCTTCAACACTGTTGTTGTGTTGTTAATGGGCTAACTGGCTAACTAGCATCAAGATGGTCTTCCTGTTTCCCTTTTTGACTGACAAGTACAAACTGATTACATCTGCTGGTGTGGAGTGTTATTTCCTCTCATGCAAGCACCGAACGAAAGTGCTGGTTGGCCGGTGGTTGAGGTCTGCAGTGTGTTCATGTGCAACTTTTTGGCTGAGACACAGGTGACATAAAGCAACGCAGCAGGGAGATTTCGTCACTACTAGTTCCCTGAAGTCAGTTTGGTGTGCCTGGGCCTTTGGACTAATATACAATTTCACAAAACAAAAGCAAGGTGAAAGAGTGACAGATACTTGCTGTCTCCATGGTTACCTATGACGCCTTTCTCATCAGGGTTGTCCATGCTGGAGAAACTCACAAGGGTAACACCTCCCATGCTAAACAGGAGAGATGCGGCATAATTCAAATTTTCATGGTTAAAAGGGTAATCAGTAGAATTTCAAGACTTAAAGTTTGAAATGAGATCTACATCATTATGACAAAATGCCTTAAGACCCTTTCAATGTTCATAAATTCCAGCCAAGTGTACACCAACATTGGACAATTCTGCACATTAGGATTTATGTCAAGTTTCAATGTTAAAGTGTCAATGCAGGAGGTAGTGTGTCCTTTAACTAGCAATATAAGGGTGTGGAGGTCAGGCTGGTGGATGGGCATGTGGGACATCTGACTTTGATTTAGGAGACCAGAGTCTGGATTGCATCACCAATCTGCAATTAATGTTGCTTTATCAACCGTAACAACAATCTTTCTTTAACCTTGACCATAACCTGGATGTCACATACAGTATATGTTTTAGAAAGCAAGAACTTAAAAAAAAACATGGGCAGTGGATGGAAAAAGCATTGTCATTGAACATTATTTGGGGTTTTGCTGAACTGTCCAACATCAACATTCTAGTCAGTTTCTACAATAAGGCAAACTACAATATTACTGGAGCCTTACACAAAAGGGATGACTGAACTTGTGACCAACTAGTAATTCATTCAGTTCACTTTGACTAAAATTAAGGCCTAGTCCACATGGACACATTTACTTTTGAAAGCAGGGTTTTTTCCCTCCTTTATCCTCAATAAACACACTATTATGAAAAAGAAATCTATGGCCAAATGAAAACTCAAAAACACAACTGAAGCGTTAAAGAGCACGCCAAACCAACAAACAGTGACATAACAACAACCCTAATAATAAGAAGTAGAAATAGAATAAATTTATTTGTATGGCACAGTTCATACAGTCCTTTACATAATAAAATGAGAAAATACAGATAAAAGACTAAACCTCGCACAGACACGTGTATGTAATTAATTTAAAAAAGCTACATAAATTCAAGTCTAAAAAGATAGGTTTTAAGATTTCATTTGAAGCTTTCAACGGAATTTGAGTCTGACCATCTCTCAAAGGTTTTTCCAGGGAGGAGGGCCAATGACAGAGAATGCATCATCACTGTACTTTTTAGTTCTATCCTGAGGGACAATTAGTATACAAGAGGTAGAGGATTTTAAGAATGTAGAGGGAATGTATTTGACCAATTTATCAGATAAAGAGTCAGGAGTCTGTCCACTTACGGCCAGGCTCCACTGGGCACGTCAGCGGCGCGGCACGTCTGCAGCGCAAGTCCTGTAGCAGCTCGCCCCCCTGTTAATCAATTACAGCGGCTCCACCGGCAACGGAAGCGGTGCGACAACCCCCGTCTGTCGCGCGCCAACTCTCTATTTTAGGCGGCTCTTCTATTTTTGTCGCACTACGCTCCCCTACCGACCCTCCAGCAAATAAAAACTACATGAAATAGTGTGCTAAACGAGCACAATGTGTTTTTAAATTAATAAACCATTATCAGAGGTGATATGTGATGATTCTTTTTCATGCATTTAGCCATGTTTATCCGTGATCCTACCGTTTAAACTATGTATTTTAATACAATTGAAACTGTTTATTGTATATTGTATTGTAAATGTATGTAATAACTTAGGTGGAAAATGCTTTAACTTTCATGCAGCCTACATGCAGCCTCTCGGCTCAGCAAACGGTAAACAACCCCGCTGGCTTCTCTACATGTCGCTTCTGTACGCCGTCAGTGGAGCCCAAATGAATACGCCGCGACGCTACGCTGACGTGACGCTTACGTTTGCAGCTGGTGGAGCCAGGCCAAGATTTAAAAAAAATAAAAGCAAAATCTTGCCAATGAAGCCGGATTTTAAACCAGAGCAATTTGTTCTTAATGTATAGTCTTGGTGAGTAGACATGTTGCACTTTGGATCATCTGAAGTTTGTTTAAAGATTTATTTGAGAGGCCTGATAACAGGGCATTTTAATAGTCAAGCCTGCTTGAGATAAAAACATGTACAAGTTTTTTTTGGTGTCTTCTTAAGATAAAAGAGGCTGTACATAGAGAAAATTTTATAAGACGGGGGTTCAAAACACAGGTCACGATCAAAGATAGCACCAAGGTTCTTAGCCAACCTCTGTACATTTTCAGTGACCTTATGTGTTGGTTGTGTGTGGACAAAAAGTCAAAACTCAGAAAAAGCGTGTGGACTAGGCCTTAATAAGATAAGTGCAACAATTTGGCTAAAACTAACATTTAATTTATCAACATTTCAAGACAAACAAAACTGGAATAGGTGCCTTAGGGAAAAACCATTAAATATGTATCAGGGCTGCCACAAGATTAAGATCAGGGGATTGTTCAATAAGGTGTACTGGGATCAAGGTTTTTTCAGAGGACAGATCGGGCACAACAAAATAGAAGTTATCCTTTTTGGTACCAAGGATATTTACAAAAGATTTTCTTAAAATCTAAAGCTGCCACGAAAGAGGCAAGTAAAACAAATAATATTTTATGCTCCTCCTGTGAATCAAATAATATTTCACCAAGACCATCAACTTTTACTTCCCTGAAAAGGATGGTTGGCATTTTATGGAACAGAAAAATAAATGTAAAGCATGGAGACACATCAGGCAGACACAAAAAAACAGAAAACAATACATCCACATGCAGATATATGCTCAGCTCTGAAACCTCCCAACATGCCCTTCTCAACTGACCTGTCTGCCAACACTTTCATTCAGGCCTTACCTCAGAGCTACAGCTAACAGTTTAGACAAGGTGAAACGGTCACTGCTGTTGCTGGGAAATATGGCTGCTAAGATGAGCGTGAACAGGCCTTAAGAGAAAGAAGCAAAAGTTAAGTCAATTTTATCAACATCAATATCACAAATTTGCCTCAATTTCACAGAGTCAAAGAGTCACCTGAGGTGGATGACAGGATGTTGACAATGGCGACCTGTGTGTCGGACAGGGCTTCCTGATAGGACAGGTTAGCCAGAAACCACTGGAAGAGAAAAAGAAGCAGCAATGTGAAATTTTCTGCACATTACAGAACAAAAACCCTGTGGTAAAATATTTCTCACATTCTTTATAAAATCTGGTTTTGCAGACTGACTGAACTTTTAATTTCACTCGCTGTCCCAGTCACTGAGGCCTTAGTAGTTCATTGTGAGAGTAAGGAAGTACCCGGTTCAAATCCGGCCTTAGACCTTTGTTACATCTCTCTCTCATTTGTTTACTGTCATTTCTACCTTATTACTATGTAATGATGGCATAAAATGCCCAAAATAGCTATGACAGTAAATTTTAAAAAAAGCAGAAAGCTGCCAGAATTGTGTCAGTGTAGTCACAAACACTACATACCTACTGTGTTAGAAGTGATAAACAGAAACAATGAACAATTCAAAACAAACATATAACCTCAAATTTAGAATGTTGCAAAAGATCTCTACAATCAGCACAGTTTCAAGGTGGACATCCAAGAGTCAGTGTCAGTTAGTGTCACCAATTCAGTATTTGACCAAATGTCTCCCCTTCTGTTCCTCAGATATGATGTTAGGTAAGGGCGAGAAAAGTGTTTTTTTTGCAGAATATTATGATGTCACAGTGAAGTTGACCTTTGACCTTTTGGATACAAAATGACATGATGTCATCATTTTATTCTATCAGATGTGTGAAATTTTGTCATAATTAATGTATGAATTCTGGAGTTATGGCAAAAAACATGTTTTGTGAGGCCAAACTGACCTTTGACCTTTGATTACCAAATTCTAATCAGATCATTACTGAGTGCAAGTGGATGGTTGTGCCAAATTTGAGAAAATTCCCTCAAGGTGTTCTTGAGATACCACATTCACGACCATGCAACGCACAATGTCACAGTGACCTTGACCTTTGACCACCTAATCTAGTCAGCTCATTGTAGAGTCCAAGGGGACAGTTTGTGCCAAATTTGAAGAAATTCCCTCAAGGTGCTCTTGAGATATCCTGTTCATGAGAATGGAACAGAAGGACATGGACAGATGAACAGACAACCAGAAGAGACAGTGCCCAGCATCTTTTTTCAGGTTGCATGCAGCCTCTTTGAAAAAAGTGCAGCACCCAGGGTCTTTTTTCAGAGTGCTCTGACTTTCTTCCACTCATAGTTATTCTAAACTGAAAATCTGTGAACTTTTCAGAAAGGCGCTGGTGTAGTCACTGTTGCTCCTTTAGATACTGTATGATGCGTTAGTCAGAAACTAAAACAATGAAGACAAAAATGTCCATTTGTGGGAGCAGACAGGAGACACACAGAAAGTGGTATAACGTTAGCTACTTAGCTTAACGTTAATGTCAAAATCCACATGGAACATGTCATTTTAAAAAAAAGCACTGGTAGAGATTTTTTATTAAGCATTGGAATTGAGCTACCTCAGTGCCCTGCAAATGCTTTTTTGTCTAAGAAAAACACTAAGTGGACACAGACCCTGCTTCCCAAACTCTTTAAAGTCTCGAAGTGATCAAATTAAGACCTATGTCAAATACTTTATTGCTTTAAGGTTTCCCAGAAGTGCTTTATTGTGCTCAGAGAGGATGAGTCACAAATTAAAAGAAGTTCATCGCTTGAAAGGCTATATGATTAATGACTTGTAGTCTTGGCACTCATAAACCATCTTTCCGCTCACTTACATAATTCATATGTGCCAAAAGCACTTCTTTTTCAAAGTATCAGCAAAACACATTTGTCACCGCCTCGCTAGCAAATAACACAAAAGGATGATCAAACGTGTGAGTGTTATCAATTATACATTGATACAATGCATCAAGATTGCGTCCTGTTTATAATTTGATATAGCAATGTAAAATCAAAAGCTGTCTTAGTCTCACCACAAAGCAGAAGAAGAAGCTGATTTTGGCCACATCAGTGATGGTTAACTTGCCCACTGTGCGCAACATGGCCTCATGGTCCTTGGCAGCTGGGTAGGACATGCGGGACAATTTGGCATCCAGGGCTTGAGTAGAGGGCAGCTGACGCACCTCCATGATGTTACTGAAACGCACCCGCTGCTTTTTAGAAGCTGCTGGGAGGTGCAAAAAGAAAGAAGCCTGAATTGACAAGAGGCAGGGAAAAAATGTGCTTTTATTTCAATGCCCAAATACTTATTTATTTTTTAATTTTTAAGATGCCATTTGTATTTGCAGCAAGGGCATCATTTTATTTAATTACACAAAATATCATGCTTATTGGGTGTCAGTGCATGACTGGGTTGAACACAAGTCACACAAGTGCCAAACACATAAATATCTAAAAATATCAATAGAGAAATCCTAATTAACTGTGGCCTTAGACTATGGAGGTACATTGGCTTTTAGCCAGCTCAAGAAATTGAGGTCAGTAAGAGCTCTCCTGAACTTATCAATAAAAAGTTATAGAAAAGCACAAAGAACATCAGATGTTTCAACTGCTCTGCCAAATTCAGAAAAGAAAGAATAGAAGAAAATCATTTGGTTCATAATTCTACTCTTATTACGACAGTATGTGAGAAGAGAATTAATAGAGAAAAGAAATAACTGAGTCTGAGGGTCACATGGAAGGTCAGAGGTTTCTCTTGTAAAATATTGTATTTCTTCCATATTAGCGCCAAAAAACATTTTATCTACTTTTATAGCTCACTGCTGCCCTCTGTTGATGAATTGTTATTTCAACCGATTCCAACTGATGATGCTATCAGTCAAAACATAAGCAATTTAACATACTCCTGAGTGTTGAAACAAGATAATAAATATGCTTCATGTTATTTATTACACAGACAACATCAACTGTGTACTCACAAGTTTCACAGTCTCCAATTAAACAATTTGAGTGCTCAGCAGGTACATCCTGGAACTTCACCGGAACATAGAGTGGTTCACTCTGCACAAGAGTGACAGTGCAAGTCAGACATTATAGCTGTCAAAAGGACAGTTCACCCCCAAATCCCTTTTTTCCCTCTTACCATTTATGAGTGCTATTAGCAATCTACATTGTTTTGGTGTGAGCTGCTGAGTGACTCAAGATATTCCACACACACTGTTGTGAACTGTTTCATGTAGGAATTACTTTCTTTCTACCAAACCACACTGCCAACCCCATTACCACACAGAGGGAAGCGTGAGATACTACTGCTAACTCAGGTTAACAGTTTAGCTAAGGAGAACGCCTTTAATGTTTTCATCTTGTGCTGTCACAAGCCTCTCGTCCATGAGGAGATGCACACTTCCTTCTCTGTGGTGACACAGTTGGCAGGTGTAGTTTGGTAGACAGAAAATAGCTCCGACATGAAACTGTTCACATCAAGGTCTGTGGATTATCTTAAGTAACTGGGTCATGATTTCTGGAAAGAGACATTGCTGTTGAGTTTTTCAAACGTTTTTTTTTTTTGGCACTTTGACCACCACAAGCCGAGTGCCATCTAGATGCGATGTTGGACAGAAGACAGACATCTATACGGCTGATATCTCAAACACTCTGCAACTCACACCAAAACAATCTACGCTGATAAACAGCACTACAGGTAAGAGGTAAACCAACTGCAAAATGTAAATTTGTATTTCTGTTTGATTGTCTAAGCTGATCAAATATTAAAAACCCTTTAAATACTACCTGAACACATGATAGCAAACTAGCACCATCAGATAGTTTGCTGTTAAGAGTCATAACTTTCTCTGTGACTTAACAACATACCAAACAGTTGTTGACAGTGGTGTCAGTGGTGCAGGGTGCAAAGTAGGCCTCAGCATCAGCAAACTGCAAAAAGATGTAATTAAGACCATTATCTTACAGACCAAAACCAAGAATTCTCAGTCATCATCTTGTCTTAAGAGGAAGGTTCACCATTTTTTTCAAAAATCTTCTTTGCCATCATGTAGGAATGTGCACAACACAAAAATGGCTTAATTTGCAAAAGAAAAAACACTCTGCTGCAGCTTCTAACTGAGCTTAAATGCAGTGCAATGGGGTGATCTTTACTAACCCAACAAAAACAATAATAACTACAAAAGAGGGTCAGTCTGGACAGACAGGCAGACACTTAAAAAAAGTAATGACCCATGATTTCCATGAGGTTTTCCACAACTTCTTCCTTCTGCTGCAGATGCAGCTAAAAAAATAAAGCCTATAAACCTGATATAAGGGTGCTTTGTGATTCATCATGACTGAGGTTGTGGAATGCAAAAAAAGGTTGTAAGTGTTTGGAGAAAAAACAACATTTTAAACATGCAAACAGGCTCCCAACCTGTGTTGACTGTGCTTTAACTACTTACAAACGCCGAATGCCGCCGTTTCAGTGTGCCAGTGCACTGCTGCCTCCAGGGCCGCCACAGCAGGAACCCCAGCAAATAGAGTACAAACATGGAGGTCTTGGTGAATGTGCTGAAGAAGGGTTTGTTGTACTCCTGTCGCTTGAAAATGTACTACAGGAAGAATCAACAGAGGGATGCTGTTAGGATAACAGCTTGTAGTGGTTAAATAACATGTGCTGCAAGCTAGACAGTTTTCCCTCTCAGACACTTCTGTTTATTTTTCTTTTGCATTTCAAGTCTGTCAAGTTGAACACAAATCTTCGAAAAGACATGGGAGGAGAGTAACAAATTATATTTAATAAGTATAACATGACACTTGATACTTTCACTACACTTCATGTTTGAAAATGAATCATTGTACTTTTTGGCTTAGTACATGTGGCTAATGATTGTAGTTATCTTTGTTTAGTTACTCCTTTACATGTTTGACTGTAAGAGGCAGTATGTTTGCTGATTTCCTCTTGTTTTACATTTCTAGCTATTTCCAACCTTCTGTGCTGCTAACCCAGCTAGGCTTGGGTGGTATCTATTTTTTCATACCTTTGTACCTTTCAGACATTGCACAGCAGTGTATGGTATATGATAGGAATTTTAAAAAACAAAAACAACAAAAAAAAAAAACATAAAAGCTGAGTTACTAGTGATAAGAGTAGCTCAGGTCTTGCTGGATTTAAATACTTATGGTGTACATGTTTATGAATAGATAGGGGATAAGCTTCCTTCTTGCTGGAAGACCCAATAACTCGATACCACCACATCAGTGAGCTGAAAGGAGATGGTGTGTTGAATAAAATCATGTGGCTAATAAACTGCTTTGTAGTTGGAAGAAGTCACCTCAAAATAAAGTTACAAAGATAAACTCAAGATAAAGTTAGAGAGTTAAAACTCCAAAACAGGGGCAGAGGCGTTTTTCTTTTTTTCTAGTCCTGTAACGTTATCCCCACCACTCCCAATCACCAGGTTTCTCAGTTTAGCTGCCCATTCTACCAGTAGACACTGAGCTCTGGTGGCGTGAGTTGTGAACTGCAATACATGGCCTTACTACAGCATCTCTGTATCAGTTAAACTTCTGATTAAGTTATTAATAACTAACAAAAACGCAGAACAATAATCCAACTTACACCTTCTCTTACCCTCCCTCCGCCTCTCTTTCACACAGGAAGCAGCTTTATCATCAGCGCTGCAGAACTCAGGCTTTCATTTATCCAGCTTTTGACCAGGAATATCTGTTGAAGTCCGACATATTTAAATCCCTGCGGTCATAACGTCCTGTAAAAATATTTCCCTCTGTAAATATGTAGGCCAAACACCAAGTCCTAACCGAAAGCATGTGCTTCCCTGTCCTTAATGAATCTGTTAAATATGCACCTCTGTAACTTCATATAAAAAAAAAAATCACATAGAAAATCAGTTGTGCGCTCGAGCCATACTGTCTTCCTATGTTTGTACTTTTTTTTAAAACAGAAAACACACATATTGTGATATTTACTGGAAATGATAAACAAAATAACCAACAGCAAGCAATTGTTATTAGCAATGGTCATTACCAGAAACTTTCAAATTAGGTTTGCGGATTTGCAGGTTGGGTTCATGTCACTGATTAATGCATATGTTTTCTTGGTCAGGAGGAGCGAATTGGCTTTCTTAACGGGCTGGGTTGGTGGGGTTTTTAAAAAACTCCGAGCCATGCATCACTAATATCGCCCAAACCTAAACCCAGCCTTATTTTATAATACCGCCACTGCCACAAGAAATCAAGGCCTGTGCCTCCCTCTCATTTTATTACAGTTGTGTCATCTTATACTGCAACCCACTTTGTGGCAGCAGGTGTTGAAAAGTGACTGACTGAGACAAAGTCCTTACTGAGGTGAGCTCAGAGGAGGCTACCCAGATGACATCCACCAGCAAGAGTATGACCACTCCCAGAGCCATCCGCCTCCGCTGCGCTGCAGAGCTACCCTGAGAGCTCATCCGGTTCATGATGAACACCCACTCCATCAGGACACTGGTAAGAGATGAATGGATGAACAAGAACATGTTGAAGTTACAAGATATTCAGAAACTGGCCGCAGCATTTACAAATCCTTAAATAATCAATGGGTTTTCTATGAAAATGACATACTAGCAGCAGAATTCTCGATTCTAACAAGAAAGTACAACAATATTAATGTGCTCCATGTCTTACACCCTACAGAAAAATGCAAACTGTGTTAATTGCAATCTAGCAGAAACTCAATTATGGTAGCCTATAACAATTTAAAGTGAAATCTGAGCTGACTAAATTAGTCAACTGATCAGTTAAACAGAAAATTTATAGGCAACTATTTTGATAATTGTTCGTCATTTATCAAGCACAAATAAACATTTGTGCCAGCTTCTCAAATGTAAGGATTTACTGTTTTTCTTTGTTTTATATAATTTGAAGATCTTTGTGTTTAAGACCTTTAGTCTGACAGAAAGGCGATTTGAAGGTGTTACTTTGGGCTCTAAGACATTGTGATGGGCTATTTTTCTATATTTTCTTACATTTTAATCTAAAGAAGCCATCAATTCTGTAATGTAAAACACATAAAACAATGAAATAAACAATAATGAGATGCAGCCCTATTTAAGATAACATCTGTAAGGTCTCTTTCTTTAGGTGAAAATCCTGAAGGCCATGCTTGAAAAAGATACAGTAAAATATGGGCAAAAGGCAAAGCATGACTGTAATATCTTGGCAGAGCTGAGAGTAACTTCCAAATATTTTTTTACATTACAATACACACCTGTTTACCAGCACAATGTACACACTGAAAGGTTCTTTCCAAATGCCCACTCAGATTCACTGTGTAACACAGTGAGTCGAGAGCAACCAGATGTCTCACGGTTAACAAAAGCCTGCCACAATAAAAGACAATGATGTTAGTTTTTTTTAAACCTACAGGTAAGTGATATCACAGCAAACATCAGTGGAGATACAGCAGCTTAAATAAGTGACAGTAAGGGACTCAGCAACCAAAGACGTAAGAGGCAAATATTAACATCTCTGCTTTTTATGTTAGGTATGAGTAAAGTAGGGTGAGCTAAGTGCCAGCTGGCTAAATATCAGCTTCGGGTGCTGCATAGTAAACAACTTACTGTATAATGGAGCTGTGCTGTACGTAGCTGCAAATTTTGTGAGTTAGTTTGGTTAACTGGCTATTTTACATCTATAACCGGGTAACGTTGCGTTAAGCTATGAGTGAAACCCATCAGAGTTATCGTGGTCAAAAATTAGTCGCTTCTTCAACCCCTGCAAGCTAGCGAAACAGCTTACAAGCTAGCTGTTGTAGTGGCTGTTAAACTGTTACAGACTGGAGGTCAACAAGAAACGCTAGGAGTTGTGTTTCAATGTAACATTACTGCTTGTTCATTGGCAGGAGTTGGTTGAGGTCCAGTTAATTTGTGCAGTTACCGTTAGCAAATAACATAGCTGTGCTACGCTTACTTGTTTATCAATATCAGATAACTACGACGAGCTAAGCGCTAACAAGCTTGCTTGATTAAGTGCTCAAATGCTTAATTAAAATATTCTTTTTACCTGAATGCGAGAAGAGGTCATTTAGTTTGCGTCCCTGTATACTTGTCTTTTCATATGCTGCTGAAGTATCGACAAAATCACAGTTTTTACGATAAAATTATTGACAGTCCAGTGGTTGTAAACATTAGCACACCCTCCCCTCGTCCTTATTATCAGGTGACATCACTTATGTGTTGCAGAGGCTTATGGGATATGTAGTCTTTAGTGGCAAGTATTCGCGCACAGTTCAGACTTCTTTAAGTCATATTCATTATGTTCACTGAAACATTAATTTAAGCATTTAGACCGTTAGAACTGAATATATAGGCCCTATTTACATCAGATTTAAGCACATAATAACAGTATTGACAGTACTGAGAGTCTACTGTCTAAGAGTTGCTTTTAAGAGGGTCTAACCAACCAACAACAACAATCTAAAACTGCTCTTGCAATTGCTTTCAATTTTATTTCAATTCATAAACTGAGATCAAAATAAAAAGACTATATATATGGATTCTGGAAGCGTATGTCTTGTCCTGTTCTTGAGTCACTGTAATAACCTTAATACAGCTGTAAAATAGAACAAAAAATAGAATATTTGCCTCCTAAAGCCTTTCCTTCTTTTACATTTTTTTAAATCTATTATCTTATTATTATTGTTATTATTATTATCTATTCTATAGAAGCTTTTTAAAGAAAGTGGTGGAGCAAAAAAAGTCATAACACTAACCAAACATTTATCTTTATTCTAAAATAATCAATACTTATCAATATCTTAACTTTATCATTAGCCTACTAATTTAAATCTGATCAATATCTATCCTAAACTTATCATTATGTCTCAAAAAAAGAAAAAGACAGAGTTGTAGAAAAACACTAAGCAACAGTGTGTGTGGCGGTGTAAGTGACACTAAGTACACTATACTTGGTGGTGCAGCTAAGCATGGCGCTTTACCTGTGAGGAGTTACTTAGAGCTCTGCTCTGCATGGAAAACTGTTACACCATCGTCGTACTTCCGCCGTCACTTCCACCTGATTAGAACGCGGAACCCAAGCAGACATGTACGAAGGGCCAGCCCACTTGGTGCACATTAGTAGCCGCGGCAGAGCGTGCAATGTCTCTCTGCTCCCCTCCCCCTCCACGCTGTGGACCAGAGGCAGGTGGCTGGCAGCGATCGCGGTGTCTCTCCTGCTCCCTCCATCTCCTTCTCAGCCTCGTCGCTCAAGGCTGTTAGACAGATGGGCAGAGGAGGAAAAGAAAATCACAGGCCAATCTACACTGAACAAAAATATAAACGCAACACTTTTGTTTTTGCTCCCATTTTTCGTGAGCTGGACTCAAAGATCTAAAACTTTTTCTACATACACATAAGACCATTTCCCTCAAATATTGTTCACGAATCTGTCTAAATCTGTGTTAGTGAGCACTTCTCCTTTGCCGAGATAATCCATCCCACGACACAGGTGTGGCATATCAAAATGCTGATTAGACAGCATGAATATTGCACAGGTGTGCCTTAGGCTGGCCACAATAAAAGGTCACTCTGAAATGTTCAGTTTTATCACACAGCACAATGCCACAGATGTCGCAAGTTTTGTGGGAGCATGCAATTGGCATGCTGACTGCAGGAATGTTCACCAGAGCTGTTGCCTGTGAATTGAATGTTCATTTCTCTACCATAAGCCGTCTCCAAAGGCGTTTCAGACAATTTGGCAGTACATCCAACCAGCCTTACAACCGCAGACCACGTGTAACCACACCAGCCCAGGACCTCAACATCCAGCATGTTCACCTCCAAGATCGTCTGAGACCAGCCACCCAGACAGCTGCTGCAACAATCGGTTTGCATAACCAAAGAATTTCTGCACAAACTGTCAGAAACCGTCTCAGGGAAGCTCATCTGCATGCTCGTCGTCCTCATCGGGGTCTCGACCTGACTGCAGTTCATCGTCATAACCGACTTGAGTGGGCAAATGCTCACATTCGATGGCGTCTGGCACGTTGGAGAGGTGTTCTCTTCACGGATGAAACCAGGTTTTCACTGTTCAGGGCAGATGGCAGACAGCATGTGTGGCGTCGTGTGGTTGAGCGGTTTGCTGATGTCAACGTTGTGGATCGAGTGGCCCATGGTGGCGGTGGGGTTATGGTATGGGCAGGCGTATGTTATGGACAATGAACACAGGTGCATTTTATTGATGGCATTTTGAATGCACAGAGATACGGTGATGAGATCCTGAGGCCCATTGTTGTGCCATTCATCCACGACCATCACCTCATGTTGCAGCATGATAATGCACGGCCCCATGTTGCAAGGATCTGTACACAATTCCTGGAAGCTGAAAACATCCCAGTTCTTGCATGGCCAGCATACTCACCGGACATGTCACCCATTGAGCATGTTTGAGATGCTCTGGATCGGTGTATACGACAGCGTGTTCCAGTTCCTGCCAATATCCAGCAACTTCGCACAGCCATTGAAGAGGAGTGGACCAACATTCTACAGGCCACAATCAACAACCTGATCAACTCTATGCGAAGGAGACGTGTTGCACTGCGTGAGGCAAATGGTGGTCACGCCAGATACTGACTGGTTTTCTGACCCCCCCAATAAAGCAAAACTGCACATTTCAGAGTGGCCTTTTATTGTGGCCAGCCTAAGGCACACCTGTGCAATAATCATACTGTCTAATCAGCATCTTGATACGCCACACCTGTGAGGTGGGATGGATTATCTCGGCAAAGGAGAAGTGCTCACTAACACAGATTTAGACAGAATCGTGAACAATATTTGAGGGAAATGGTCTTTTGTGTATGTAGAAAAAGTTTTAGATCTTTGAGTTCAGCTAACGAAAAATGGGAGCAAAAACAAAAGTGTTGCGTTTATATTTTTGTTCAGTGTAGTTGAGAATAATGAGACAAATCATTTGGGTTGAGGCAGGCCGCAAAGGTCACTGTGCCAACAGAAACACCAAAACCATTCACAAATCAGTCAAATTCACCACATTACCCCTGTTCTCATCCAACTTCACTGGCTCCCTGTACAAACAAAAACCTTGCCCTCACCTACAAAGCTCTCCACAATCTAGCCCCCACTTACCTCTGTGACCTCCTTCAGGAATACACCCCTCCCTACCCCACACCCTCCACTCAACCTCTGCTGGACTCCTCACCATCCCCACCTCACGCTTCAGTACCATGGGTGCCCGAGCAGCTCCCTCCCCCTACACATAAGATAGTCAGACTCCATCACATCATTCAAATCCCAACTCAGAAACCACCTGTTCAAACTGGCATATTCACTCTAACCGTCTTACTGATCTTTTATCTTCTATGCTCTGTAAGGTGACCTTGACTTGAAAGGGACCTCCAAATAAAATGTATAATTATTATTATTATTATTATTATTATTATTATTACATTTTATTTAAGAGAAAGAAACATCCAAATGAACTTTCTTAATATTAAATGATGTGCTCTAAAAAAACCTGCTGGGATTCTTCAGTAAGTAATTTCCTGTATTATACTGCAGAGGACACTTCTCTGTTTGGAAGATATCAAACAAGGTAAATGCAACTACAATATAAATTTCATTTGCACCAGCCATGAAGTGTTTGCTGTAACTTGATTTAAAGGTAACAGTTTTACTTTCACATAAACATAATTTCTTCTGTCTTGATACTGGCCTGTTTCCAGCTTCAGAGAGTCAGCAAACCTCCTACACCTGGCCATCCACATATCATCACAACTATCATTAGATAGTATTTACTTTTACCTTGCTGTAAATGCTGTCCTGTTTTTGTTTGCATTATCAACATTTAAACATTTGTTAATTAAATTCTGTGAATGTGTACCATTAAAGTCATAATGTAGCATAACCTTGAGAAAAAAGGCAGGAGAGAAACCTTATAAGATAAGATAAGATAAACTTTATTGTCCCAAGCGGGAAATTTGTTTTGGGCACATAGTGCAACATAGCTGCATAGCAGTTACAACCATCATATACAAACAAGACACACAGAAGACAACCATGTAATACGCAAGGCGCAGATTTGAATAACATAATAGTGCAATTAGGACTACTGGATGAAATAAATACAACAACTTTATCATATCAGGTCAAGCTAAAAGAATAAAAGCTCCTTAAGGTTGCACTAGCCCAGGAGGTAATCATAAAAAGTGCACTAAAAAACCTGTAGTATAAATAGTGCAGATAAAATACAGTAGGCTAGTGCAAATTAAACTGTTGCAAATAAAAACTAAAGTGCCAGTAGGAACGAACCAAGTGTGCAACAGGTCAATAGTCACAATAGCAGCCCTGCTCTGCCAGGGAGACACCACAGGGCTAGCAGATGAAGAGAATGGCATAACCACGGGAACATTACAAAAAAGTGCTTTCTGCTGTCATTCACAGCAATGCTAAATAAAGAATTTGATCTACAACCTGTGAATGAAAAAACAGAACTTTATTCACCTTTAGGTTTTTACAACAAAGATGCCTTATGAAAATAAATATACTCATAGCAGCAGAAGACATGCAGTGTTGATGTAATATATATCTGGCACACTGAATTCAAATAAACACAAGAAGTTTGTGCTCTAGAGTAAAGATCAGCACCTCCTAAGCCCTATGATAAGCTATTAGGGTTGGGAATCTCTCTGTGATAGATGATTCGATACATATCTAGATACACGGGTTACGATACGATTCAAAAACGATATATTTTTAATACAGAACGATTCGATACGATTCGATACAGTGTAGGAACAATACGATTTGATACGATTCTATGGTTAACATTTGTTGATGTAGACATTAATCATACATTATAAAATAAAGCCAATTCTATAAAAGTGACATTCTTACAGTACTTTCAAATTTGTAAAAGACCACATCCCCAAGCATTGTTGCTGTATGGCACTTGCAAAAATAAAATAAAAAGTCAAACAACAACAAAATCACATGTCAAATGTATTTCTTTTTAGACATGGACCAAAAAAAGTCTTGCTGAATGAACATCATTTTGTTGGATGGGATCAATATAAAAATGAGAAGTTTTAAACTTTAAGTGAAGTGAACTTTAAGTAAAATTTAAGTGTTTTAAACCTACTTGTTGTGTTGTTTTTATTGTATTGTCTGTGTTTTTGTATGTATCTCATATGGACTTGAGTC